CGTCGACAAAACTGCTGAGTTTTGTCGACGTTATGTCGACATAACTCAAAGGCAGTGTGGACGCAGGTATAGTTTTGACAACAAAAGTCCACTTTTGTCGACAAAACCCTGTAGTCTAGACACCCTATGAGTCAACAGTGCAGTGGTGGGAGAGAAATGGTAGCCAACTTAAAAGCCAGCTCCCCCCCAGCACTGGCTCTTCCCTGCCTGCCCCCTTGCTGCCCCTTCTGTGGGAGGCAGAAAGAGGGGGCAGGCAGTTCTGCAAAGCTGCATGTGCGGAGAGCCAGCGTAAAAGCTCCCCACGAGCTCCCCATCCTCCCCCTCCTTGCTTCCTCTGATACAGAAGCAGCAAAGGGGGAGGGGTTGTGTGTAGCCAATATGATTAACCAATAAGCTCAGGCTTATCGATTAATCGTGTAATCAACTACATACTAACATCCCTAGGGCTGACACAGTATTTTGTCCTGAAGTAGAGCCAGGAGCTGTGTGACCCTTGGTGTATCTGAGCACCCACAAAGCCCCTGACAACTAAGGGCACCGATGCGCAAGCAGATCCTTAATTTGTTCAGGGTCCCCATATGTGTGACTGAGTTAAGCAATGGCAGCAGCAGGTGAGTTAGGAGGTATGGGCAAGGGCGCAAGGGGATGCTGGCAGGCTGTTCCAGAGCAGAGGTAGCTGCGAAGGAGAAGGCCCTTGTGTCTTAACCTCATGAAATGCAGAGGAGGAGGGAGGAGTTGGGTGCAAGGTGTTTGCAAGGAGGAGAGCGGAAAGCGATTGGATCCATTTGAACTACGGGGGCAGATCATTTATTCTTGTTGAAGTTTCCAAGCTGGCAGCTTCCCCCAGCCCGCCTGCCTCTTCCCGTAACAAGCCGCTTGCTGCTGCCTAGATTGGAAGAGCACAGCTTGAAATATGTGGCTCCAGTGCCTTGACAGGTCAGATTGGTGATGCAGGGCAATCCTGCAGAAGGCTGAGAGTCTGCAGCTATCTGTGAGCAGCTTGAACGAGTCCTGGCGCAGCAGAGCACGTGCCAGTTGTGTTTTGCCCTGATCTGGAGGTGCCCAGGGCTAGTGGAGAGTGTGCCAGCTAGGGCTGCCAGTCATGCCAATCATTGTGATCCCAGGAAGAGGGGCTGCTGTTGGGTCTAAGAGGATTCTGCCCTCTCCCGCTTAGGGCGCCGTCTCTCTGGGAAAGATGTCAGCAGACCAGGGTTACTGGAACAACCTGACAACCCTGCAGAAAATCGCTCTGGCCCTTGGGGTCCCAGCCAGTGCAACTGTCCTGTACATCTTGTACCGCAGGTACAGAGAAAGCCGAGGTATGTGCATCCCCTCGTGGCGATGGCCTTCGGGTGATCGTGACTCCGTTGTTGCTAGCAGCTTGTGTGTTGCATTTAGGCTTGAATTATTCATTACTTGGCTTCCTTCCCGCCCCATCCCCAGTCTTGCCAAATGCTCAGAAATAAACTTCTCCCCTGCTGAAGAGAAGAGCTGGCAGCATAACCAGGGGTGATCCGTGGGGACAGGGGGTCTTTTTCTGAGCAGCTGTGTCTGTTTTGATTTTCCCCTGCGCTGTCTGTGATACCATCCCTGCAAGAAGCTAAAACCCTTCGACCTTCCTGCTAATTTCTTCCCAGACCATGCCCTGGGTTTGAGGAAATGCAAACAGACTCAGCTCTGACAGGTTAAAGGTCTCACTGCTCTGGACTTTTGCTGATTCCGCCTCTTCTCCTGGCCTGGAGCTGCTAAACTAGTGGGATTGGCCCCCATCAGGCTACGTGGAAGAGGGTTGGGGGGGTGAATGCATTAGCCTGTTTAACCTGTTTACGGTTGGTTGTGCTCAGAGGAGCGGCTGACGTTCGTCGGCGAGGATGACGTTGAAATCGAGATGAAGATCCCCCAGGAGGCTGTGAAATTGATAATCGGACGGCAGGGTACCAAAATCAAACAGGCAAGTGTCACTGTGTGTTCCTAGGACGGGGGGGGGGCCCACTTCAAGATTTTTGGTAAGTGGCCAAGAGCTGCACTTTTCTATAGAGGGAGTGCAGGGTCTGGTATTGAGGTTGGGTGCCGAAGAGAACTCGGGGTGGGAGATTGGGGGGCAGGAGAAGGTGTGGGGCCTGAGCGGGAGTTTGGGCGAAGGAGGGGGTTGTGACTTGGGGCAGGGGTGCAGAGTTGGGGAGGGGGTGTGGGTGCTGGAGAGGATTCTGACCTGGTAGAGGGGGTGCAGGGACTGGGAGGAAGTTGTAACTTGTGGAGGAGGGTACAGGGTTTAGGTGGTGGCCTGGGGCAGGGAGTTGGCGTGTGGTAGGGGATGGGGTGCCAGATGCGGACTCTGGCCGGGCAGCGCTTACCTTGGTTGCTCCCGGCCAGCAGGACCCTCAGGCAGGCTCTCTGCCTGCCGCATCCCCAGGCTGCTCAAAGCAGCCAGCTGGTCGGGCCATGTGCCTCTCTGTGCTACCATGGGGGAGGGGACTTTGTGCTCCTGCTGGGATGGAAGCAGCGCAAAAGTCTCCTCCCTCCCATCCCCCCCAAGGGGCATGCGGCACTTGGAGGTACGTGGCCCCTGTGGCTGGTTTCTGTGAGCAGCCTGGGGCTGCAGCAGGCAGGGGGGCTGCCCGAGGGTCCCAGTGGGATGGATCCAAAGGCTTGGCAGGCCAGATCTGGGCTGTATTTTGTCCACCCCGTCCCAGGTGCTAGGATGCGACAAGCAGGGCCTGATCTCAGGGACCGGCACTTGCCTAGGCGTCATGTGAGCTCAATGGCAGGATGTCAGACCAGTTCCTTGTGCCCCGCCCAGGCAGAACCCTCTAGTGACCATCCCCTCCCATTGGACAGTGCCTGGCCCTTGGCATCAGTGTATCCTGGGCCCCACCCCACTCGCTCAGCTTCTAAGAATCCCAAAGATGGTTGCAAACCTTCTGAATAAGCTGCTGCAGCCAGGTAGGCAACTGGCCCAGCCACCCGGGGAGGGGGAGACTTGGGCACCGATGCCGGAGGACAGCAACACTGCTATAAATGTGCCATTGGGTCTTAATGCCCAGCCCTTGGCTTCTGAAGATCCACCCCCAATAACCGGCTCAGAGGGACGCCGACGGAACGGGCCACGTGCCCGGGAGGTCTGAGCTCAGTTGGCTGAACTGTGCCCTCCGCCCGAGCGCCCGGCTAGACTTCCGTGTCCTGTGTCTCCGCAGCTGAGGAAGGAGACTGGCGCCCGCATTGATGTGGACACGGGGGACTCCGGTGAGGAGCGGGTGCTGCTGATCAGTGGCTTCCCTGTCCAGGTGTGCAGAGCGAAAGCTGCCATCCACCAGCTCCTGGTGGACAACGCCCCCGTGGCAGAGCAGTTCTTGGTGCCGCTGCTGGAAACTTTCCTGCTCCCTCCCCACCTCCCGTTAGCCACCAGAAGAACCGCTAGGGATCTAGGCAGGAGTGACCTGAGCTCTGTTCTTTCACGCCGCTCCAGAGACTCAGGCAACTGCTAAACGTTGCTTCAGTTGGTTGGCCAGAGCCCTTGCTGCTTCCCCTTCCGAAGCTGAGGAGAAATATTGAGACATGCCAGTAAGTCTGCTTCCAGGGCTGGAATTCAGTGGTTACCCCCTTTGTGTGCTCACTGGAGTCTAGGGCGGCGAGAGCTGCTGCAGTCTTATCAGGCGGCTCTCTCTCAAATCTAAGCGCCTTTATTTTTCACTTCTGGCCCTGCTGCTGTGTGGAAGCTTCTGTTGATGAAGCTCGAGTGAATCACTAGCCCCCGGACTGATGTCCCGGGTGTAGAACGCTACGGCTGTTCAGCGGAGACGCTGCGAGGACAGGCGGGGCAGGGTCCTGTCTGTGACCAGTTGGAAACTGGCTTGGGCGGTGGGAGATCTGGGTTCAAGTCCCTTCTTCACTGCTTCCTGTGTGACTTGGTGTCAGTCCCTGCGTCTCTGTGCCTCAGTTTCCCCCCGCTGGAGAGTGGCAGTAAGAGTCAGGGAAGGGCTGTGAGGATAAATACATTAACGACTGTAAAACGATTCGTGAGTTTGGTGTTGGGGACAGGGTAATACAGGAAGCCCAGCTGTGATTTCCTCAGTCAGAACTTGGCTTCGCTCTTTGCCCTTTCACCGAGCGCAAGAGGCTCATCACCCCTGCAGGGTGGCCCTGTGCCCCAGGCCCCATGCTGGAGCTCTGCTGAT